CCTTTTTTGGTTTTTCCTTTAGCGTAGTAAAACATAGTGTTCATCATTGGTGTCACGTGGTCTGTATACAAATGCGCTTTACGAAGACGTTTAAAATGTTGTAAACAGTTTAGGTTTTCGTTCATCATTAATTAGAAACAGTTTCTTTGTTTTCAACGATGTCTGTTTATTGGGAAAATATTGTTAATTGATCATTAGACTCATTGGTCTCAAAAATACCCTATTACTAGACGAGCTGTGTTTCATGTCACAACGTTTGCTTCACTAATTTCTGGGCAGCAACAACCTTGATTCGAACCTACAATTTTCAGATCGACGAGAAGTACGAATGTATGTTCTAATCATTGAGTTAAGCAGGTGGTTTGCTGTTGAAAGAAACATGTAGTTCAATGTGATATGTACACGAATTAGGTGTGATTTCTACAAGTCATTGATCACACGTGCACCGTGACATCACGAACCCACAATGGAGACTACGGGAAAACCATCTAAAACTCACAAAATTCGCAATATTAATCACCGGACGCTAACGTCGAGACCCGTAAGTTTACCTAGAACTTCGACCCAAACAAGCCGTTAACTATCATAGCGTCCTCGTCGTCACCATTTTACTATCAGTGGGGATTTTAATGCAAAGTGAGAAACAAATTACCGTTTTCGAAGCATCGTCCCAGTCAACAGTTATTACATTGAAATCGCCAACTTCCAGCAGCTTTCTGACCATGGTGATTACCCACGTAGCCGTACCCTCGTCGGAAAAGCCGTGAACAATAAACTGAAATGGTAAAAGGAAAACAAAATAAGCTTACCTCGCTCTTTGCATTTAATGGCAAGTCTTCGTACAATACATGTCGTTTAAAATTACCCGCTCCCGACAATCAGATGTCTAAACCGGCACGGTGGTAGAATGCTGTTCTTGCTCGTCAGTACCGAACTTTCAACAGCGTATACCTTTTTTTCTAAGAATTTCTCCCAGAACATTCGAGCGAAAACATAGTCATTACCATGTTGGAAATAGTGGGACATCTATATATTGCAACGGCGTAACTTTAAGCATAAGTCTCGGGACTAACAATAGCATAAATTTAAAAATAAAGGAAGCAATACAAATCGTCCACCAGGCTGTTGAACTCGGAAATCAGTCATTATAATGACAGTGATGCATTGTTAATGTACAATACTACGTGGGCGTTTGCTATTGTTTGCAACTTCAATGGTAACAACTTCCGAAATATACCAGTTTCATCGCAGTTATAAACCTGTTCGTCGGAATAATTACCTTCATAGATAATTTCTCGCGAGAAGTTCTGTATTTCATCAAACAGGAAATTGTGAATGTTCATTGGAATTATATTCTGTCGGTTCATTTCCAGGGCCAAGACAACTTGTTGTAGAAATTCGAATTCAAGTAGGGAATAGACTACAATGTTCAATAAACACACTAGCAAACATATACAAAGTTGCATACTAGTATGCTAAGCTTATTTCGTATTTTTCATGATGCCAATCGAGTGGACGAACGTGAAACGGTTCTAGCGCCGAGGGGTCTAATCGTCCTAGGGTCGAAACGTCGAGGGGTCTAATCGTCCAGGGGTCGAAAGAGCGAGGGGTCCAAACGAGCTGGTACCATTATAATATACCACAGTCATGAAACAAAAACTACTATGATTTGTATTGTTTCCTTTATTTTTAAATCGACCGATCATCTGACAAGCGGCTGGCAAGCATGACCACACACTTCGCAAGTGGCCGGTGAATATATCTAAACATGCATACTAAATATTATTAAGTATTCAACAATAGACGGATTGGAACCAATCATGTTGGATAGCTTGTGGCTGAATATAGGCCTTATGTTTATGTGGTTCTCGATTTGAAAACTTAGGATGGTCTGAAAATGACAATCAGATGGTGAAAAGGAAAACAAATTGACTGCATATTGTGAAAATAAAATGTGAAAAATAAAAAAACAACACATGTCGACAGACATATGTGAATAAAATGTTTGCAAAAATAAACAAATTCTTCCAGTACCACCACCCATTTTCAAATAGGTAACCACTAACTAGATCCGGGTTGGAGCACATCAGAACCCAAGTCACAATACAGACGTCAAGGTCCATTCCGTGTATAGCGTTCTTTGTTCTCGACCATGTTGTCGTGAGCGGTTTTATTTATTCAACGGCTGGACACGGATGAATAAACACGCTTCTACTAGTACGGCATATCACTGCCATGCCCTCGAAGCCAATTGATTTATACTTCCTTGTTCGTTTCAATAGATTAATAAATACATAGTTTTTCGTCACAGTATTCTACTGACATTTCCAGGGAACGGTGAATATGTAAGAATTATGCTATACTAATTACGAAATTTATCAAATCCTACACACTGCTAAAACAGAATTATATACATTAAATCTTACCTTGATCGGTTTCCCCTGCATATAATTACTATTCAAAGTATGGGCCGGAAAGTTGAAAACATCGCCGTCTATGTCTCGGGTATATAATCGAAACGTCACATCAATATCGTGTTCGGGAACTTTGCCGAATATTTCAGAACAGAAAGTACCATCTTCACCATATTGCTCGCAATCTATTCTCAATAATACAATAATTAGTAGTATAAATTGTCATTCGTTGCTAGCAGCGATATCATTGGCATAGTAACACAGCAACATACGGGAATACTGTTTCATTGTCTTCGGTGTTTACAAACTAATAAACGCGGACACAGTCCAATCAAAGTCCCTCTATATGTTTATAGAGGAACTGTGTTCCAATGTATGTCGTGACATTGTTACAGTTAAAACATTAAGATAACACCCTTGAAAAGAAACACGATACTAATAAATAGGTACATTTTATTTCGAACTTTAACAAACAGGAAATAATACGCCATTTTGTTCTACAAGCTAAAACTTATATTTAACTCACCTGTTGCTTCATTCAACATTACACAGCAGCTCAAACCAAAAACCACTAGTACGCAAAGAGGAACTATCTCCATATCTGACCAAGTCGCAAGAAATTTAAAAAAAACGTCGTCTAGAAACAGTCTTCAAGACTGAACCCGGAGACGGAACTACCGATAGAATACCTGCACTCTTAGTTCCTTGTTACACGACCTCAACGGTAACTTGATATTGAGACTATTATATACAAAAAACAAACTAGGGACTATATAAACACGAGGCCGACGCCCCATAATATTTCAAACGGCTATCGGATTTACAAGGTCGTTCAGTCAATCAGCATGATCTCGCACATGTCACATTTCGGACCAATCAAAAATCTTCGTCGAAGTGACAATACGTTCAAACACGAAAATAGTTGTCACATTCTCACTTGTAGGCGGCGCGGTTGAAGTTCTATGTTATTGTTTCCACTAAACTTTGTTGTGAAGCGATTTTTTTAATTGCGACGCCTATTTGTTACCAGATAAAATCGCGAAAAGGTGACGCTTTAGTAAGTCCCGACAAATTAACAATACATATTCTGGAAGCTTTCCATAAATTAGTAATACATGTATTTGATTATTGTAATTTCTGGTTCACTATTATCACATTAACTATTTTTCTCTACTCTTCCTGTTATTGTTTTCACTTAACTCTCTCTTGTTAAGGACGTCTTTTAATCGCGACAATATGTACTAACATATATTAATGCGATGAGTTGGCGTTTTGTTGCAAACCGACGGATTAATATTACATATACTGAAAGCTTTAAATATTTATTTAATATTTGTAATTGATTTTTGTAATTTGAAATTGGCTGCTCTTACGTAATCTGCCTCTACATTTTCGTTTACTTAACTGAATTATTGCAATGTGATGTGCGTCGCATGCTGGCGCTCTTTATTCTGTTTTATGCGTTGTGACATTGACCCTAATTGGTTGAAATCGTTCTGATTTGCAAATTAATATGATATGACAGTTGTACATAGCATCACGTGCAATAATCTCAGTGATGGGATAAAAAAAAGTACGGTAGTTCTCTTTTTGGAGTATGTGCTGGCCCTGAGAATGGCCGTTTTGTTTGAGTGTCGTATCACTATTGCTGACGACGATTTTGTCTTTTCTGGATAAATTTTAAAATCACCCAAGGAGCATAATCTACAGGATAAGAATTGAGATGACCTCTTCGACAGACAACAATTGTACGATGGATCGTGCCCAAGACGAGAATGCTCGTGTCCATGGCTGCGGTGGTCTTCTTGTCGAAAGAGGGCTGGATAAATACGCATAGTTGCATGCTATACGGGAGTCAAACATGATATGGCAGTTGTTATTTGGATCCATGTCGATTGATAGTATGACGGTATCTGGTGGAAAACTTCTGAAATAAGCAAAACGTTTGGCTATGTATTCCAGGCTTATGCTTTTTTACTTTCTGTATATATTCTTTTATTTTTCGCCTATCGCAGGTTCACATAAAATGCCCATAAAAAAACTTTCCATTGTTTGGATGATACATATTTGAATATAGTTACATAAATCACCTAGGTAGTATTTTTTTCACAAATTGTTATCCATGGGATATACTAAATTTAAAGCGCGGTAGTCGTCGCGCTGCGCATGTGCGAGATATGTGGGTCTCGTATAAACAAAGATGGCGACTTTGACTG